TAAAACCAGGTAGGCGGCATCAAATATACTGCAGAAATATTACTTCCAAATTGTGATGAGTATTTTGGGAGGGTTTATGTCTGATTTGCAATATTTTATGGGCTAAGACTGCACCTTAGTAATGAGGGATCAGCAAATTCCAAGGGGTTATCTGAATGGCAATGATATTTTTTAAACTTTTCAAGCTTATCTTTGTTATCATTGGTATTCTTCCATCTCACTGAAATGTGAAACCTATACATCAGTCATGCAGAGGAAATCAAAAGATTTATGGCTTATTTGTCTACTCTCATGTAAACTACCATAGCCTAGGCACCTGCAAGCAGTAGATCTGAGTAGTGTTTTCCTTTCCTGCCAATTTCACTGGTCCATTTGACCACCCAAAGATCACTGAGACATTTGGATTACCAAGTGGCAGGCCTTCATGTAACACATCGTGAGGGGCTTCCCATGCCAGCATAGCTATATTATTCCCCTTTCTTTCTTGGCTCTGCACAATTTCAGGCCTATAGCTTAGAGGAAAAAAGAAGCAATGCAAGACAGAACACTTCCTTCTGCAAGGAGATCCTGCAGAAAAGGCATAATGGAAAAAACAACAATTTCTATCTCTGATCCCTATTTGCTGAAAGGCCTTTTCCTCCAGGAAGCCCTGGTAATGGGAGAGTTTTCCAAGCATTGGAAGGAAGCATTACTGCCCATCCTATTCTCATTTCACCTGGCTTAGAGATAGGTCTGAAAACTGTTCTGTTTTTTATCTCTCGGAAAGACAATATTAAGCAAAGGAAGCTACTGTTAAAATGTTGGGTCTGTTCTTTCACTGTCAAAGAGGAATCTCCACAATATCCTTAATAAAAATAAAGGAGAACAAATCTGTGGCTCTGGCTTTAATCAAAGAGCATCGTGCAGTGCAGTGACAGGAAAACAGGTCACTAGTACACAGCCTCCCATTTGGGTTACTGCAGAACTTTAACTGCTGATATTACAAAAGCAATAAAAGCACAGACCCTTCATTGCCTGGAATGAAGTGTAGGTTTGAAAACTCCTGGGAAAGTCGACTTTTGATAGCAGCAAAATGATGCATTGATGTCAAATGCCTGGCTTGGAAATAATCCAGAGTTTATGGTAAACACTAACAGCTACAGCAGATGATCTCTTAAATCTCAGGAAGCAAGATCTTTAGTCCAACACCTCTATTTTGCTGGAAAGGGCCATGGATAACCTCAATGAAACATCCCCGTGCACATGCATTATGTCAAGCTGCTTTGCTTAATGTGAAAAAAGTTACAAATTATTTGCCTAAACCTCAAATCTACCATATCTTGGCTTTTGTACAGAATTTTCTCAAAGCAAACTAACTAAAACTAACTCAGGATTGATCAAAATCACAAAGAAAATTTATGACCTTATTGGCAATGGACCAAGGCTTGCCATGTGACAACCTCCACATAGCTGGAAGTGAGACAGAAGGCTATCAGGCCATCAGTTGTTTTATCCTCAGATCCCCTACTGAAGGAAAAACTATTCTGATAGTGAGCTGTGTCCATAACCCTCCAGCTGGGCTGTTAATCGGGAAAGCTACCTTAAAGTTGCACAAGTAGCTCAGAATTAGAGATCTCAGTGGTTATTTCCTATGAATTTTAAAATGTTGCTGCACCAGGAAATGCTGAGTTTATTCACTGCTGAGGTTGAAACAGGTTTCTGAAGAAGACAGTGACACCCAGTAAATGCAGAAGTATTCCAGAAGAGAGGCTCCTTAGGGCATACCCAGGTCTCACTGGGTGCTTTGACTCCTAAACTCCATGTGATTATGGCCAGGAATTCATGAAATAAAAAGCCTTTTTGATATAATCTTCTGTCACCAGATTATCCATATAGATGTGAGCACAGTGAGGCAGTGGATCATGCATTTCTGCAGTGGCAACAGCAACACGAAAGTCACGCCACGTTCCAGACTGCCATGCAGATTTTTACAAGCAGAGTATGCAGACTTTGTTCATTGCCGGCAAAAATGCATAGCTAATGGTGGTGACTGCTGAAAAATAATGTTGGGAGCTGAGAATTTGTTCTCAAAGTTACTGTGCTCCTTGTTTCTGCAGTAATTTCCAAGGAAATAAATAGGAGGCAGTATTTTTGGAGCACAGTACGCAAGTATGAACCACCAAAAAATAATCCTAGCTATTCATGACCATAATTCTAGCTATGCAGATTCTGAAAGATGCCTTGGCTCTTTCGTGATGCTCCAGCATGAGCAGAGCCCTTGATTGTTTTTGAGTAGAAAATGAAAGTCTAAGGATGACATGGCAGCTGTCACGAACTCTGGGTCAAACAGCATATTTATAACTGGCTATTTTGCCTTGCTCCCAACCATAGCCAAAAATCCTACGAAGGAAATAGCTCCATGACCCTTGTGAATGCAATCCATTCAGAGCTTTGGGCAGTTCCGGACTAAGAAATAATTTTTTCAAAGAATTATCAAGTTAGTTCTCAGTCACATAAACAGTCTCTGTCCTTTGACTGACCATGTCTATCGCCTTTCTTCATAGTACACCAATTCGCAATGGCTGCTAACAGAAAAACATTTGGACAGTGTTTATTCTGACTCACAAGTAAACCCTTGCCTTTTCCAGCTGGGAAACTATGGGAGCAGCAAACAGACCTTCCACCTATTCACCCCATTAATACTCTCATCAGAGACTGATATACTTATGTTCCTAGGGGTCACTACAAAGCAGAACTGAAGAGATTCTAAGGCAGTATAGGGAGTTATGGGGAGCCACACTGCTTGGCTCTGTCTCTTTCCCTATTCTTCCATCTACCTGCTTTCTCTCTGTACTGAGACTGTGCTGGTTACTCTCACAAATGCTTTTATTTTATCTAGCAGAACTCTCTCTCTTTCATTCTATATTTACGGCAACTTTAATCAATTTTATAAGATTGCATGTGTGGCCACATTCTCCTAACTGGGGATTATTCCTCTCCCTCCATGCCCCTCTCCACAGCAATCATAAGGTAGCTACATGAGACATGTTTTGTTTGGATGGGGCTGAGCCCTGTACCCTGGGTCAGCTGCCATCAGCCCTGCCAGTGCTGCTCAAGGTTAACATCTTTGCAGGGTTGCAACGCCTTAGGTCACAGCACAGGAGTAGGAAGTCTGCACAGGACAGTGAGGAAGTTATTAAATCACTTAAAATCACTTGAAGCTATTTGCATGAATGAAGCCATCTGCAGGAGAGTCATACTCACAAACCACAGACTTATCTGCAGATGATTGTATTCAGCCTCACACTTCCAATGAGCTCTTGTTGGATGACAATTGAAACAGACCTTTAAAGCTCAATAAATACTAACCATCCAGTGCCAAACATTTAGGATTCTTCCGGGATTAGTGACAGCGTAAGGCATGATAGTGAAGCTGTCTACAAAATGACCTCTTCTAGGACTGCAGATCTCCATTAAGGTGGCCAGTTATCATCATCTGGCCTTAATTACCTGCTTTCTCTTCCTCCTCTTTTTTTTTTTCTTTGGCCCAGTGTCTAGGCAGATGTTTTTTATGACTGCAGGCTGATGACATCACAAGCTGTCCACAGAGCAGCTTAACTACAGCAGAGTTTCTGCTTAGTTCCCCAACACTGCTCTGCTAGGCTTCCAGTTGAAACATCTGGGATGTTGATCTTGAGGTTCAGAAAGCAATGGAAAGACAAGAACTTCTGACATAGTTTGAGAAGGACCCAAGGAAAATGGCTATTATTTTTACATTTAAAATAGTTACTTAACAGAGCTCATTTTCTAATGCTGCTTTCCTCAACAAAGCAAGCACTTCTGCCCATAAGTTTTTTACTTTTGCCTGCTTACAGCACCACTCCATTTCTCCTCTGCATTTTCTTAGTGGTAAGAGATTGTTAGATCCAGTAACATTATAAAATCTTCACAGTCCCTCATCTCTCTGCCTCCCACCATGCTGTTCAATTCCTCTGTTCCCCTACTCAGCAAAAACATGAAATTGCAGTTCATACACGTAGGTATGAAAATATACAGAGAACTTTTGAAAGATCGTTCACTGCAATGTCTGCCCTTTCGGAATGAGGTCACCTGATTGGATTATTAGGTTTCTTAATTACTAAATAATGAATATAATAGCCAGATAAGTTGCTATACACAGGTGTGGCTCAAGATACTGAAACAATCCATTAAGAGAAGGCTAACAGCTACAATGCAAGCCTTAATCTCTAATTAGATACATCATTTCTTTCAGTAAGATGCTCCTTGTCTGAGCAGAAAGCCACTTTTAATTTCTCCATTCCCATTTGTAAAGATAACACCATAGCACTTCCCGGCCTCAGAGCGGTGCTGGAAGTATCCAAACATTAAACATCAGAGATTCTAAGTATATTCAAGTGAATAACATTCACTTTATATTCCAATCAGTTATAAATATTGTAATGGCCATAAAGTATAAAGTTACAAGGTTATAAATCCTCTCTGCAGAAGAAATTAGGCATTTTCTTCAGTCAATTATGTAGATTTAGCTTACAGTTCTCTGGTTTTCTAATACTTTTTTTAGTTTTCTAGAAGACCACGTAGAAAAGAAAAAGACACCTGTATGTAAAGCCTTTGCATGGTCGGGGACTGTGTAGTATATAAAAATTAAGCAATTGCCTAAATGTGCTACAACAATTTTTCATTTACTTTCTCTAAAACAAGACCATATTAAATACTATTTCTTTCTATATAAAAATCTCTTCCAATAAAAATGACTATTTTATTTCATGGAAACAGAATAGAAGATAACAAAACAATTTAATTTTTCATAGGAGTTCTCAGATTAAATTAAATGTCCTAAAATTTAGTTGAGAAAGAGTGCTTTAAAAATATAAGGGATAGTATAAAGAGAACGAAATCTTAGCCACAATAGCATTTTCCCACTCCATAAAAGCAGGTTGTAGTTATGCTGCCAACATGATGGTAACACTCAGCAGAAGCCTCAGAAAGTGCTTCTTTACCTCAAGCCAGGGTCCAGGTCAAAATCACATTGAAAGCAGACATCTGCAGGCGTCCCCACAGTGGCCAGCCTAAGAATCAGAGCACAAGATGATCACAAGCACTGCCTGTTTTTATTTATAAAAATCATCTGGTTTTGAGCAAGCTAATGGAGGATATGGAAAGACTGATCAGATACATGGCTTTTTGCAGCTTGTTTTGCAGGATGGAAAACAGGATGTCTAATTCATTACTGAACTCCCCCTTCTTTCCTCCTGCATGTGCTTTGTAATGCCATCCCCATAACTATCTGCTTCCCTTGCTGGGTATGGGATGGCTGCTGGTCCTGGAAAGTGTTTCTCTCATCACCTCCACTTTATGTTGAAACTCTTTGCTAACTCTGCACATGGAAGCCTCTTAAAAACCAGGGCTCTGCCCTGACATTGAATCCTAAGCCCAAGGGCAGTGAGGTCAGCAGAGACAAAACCAGTCAGCCCAAGAGAAAGCTCCATTACAATGCTGCTTAATGTCATGTTGCTCAGGTATCCTAGGATGCAAATGTTCTTCACTAACATCAAGTGCAGAATTGGAGCCAAAGTGAGATGTCACGCATGTAGATTTAACGGTCAAACATGAATATACTGGGGGCAGAAGACTTTTGTCACTAAACCCTAATTCATTATTGTTAAATGAGCAGCCTGGAGAGGTAAATGCACACACGTACATACTATGACAGTTCAGGAACCTCCTTGAAAACAATTTGTGCTACAATCCATGCTACCTCTGTGCTTGAATAGATATAATAAATCTTCTTGACAACAGCGTTGAGCATATTTACATGCTGTACAAGGAAAGAATAAAATACACTTATGTAAATTTTTTCGAGTTTTTGGTTCCTATCATATCATTTGCAGAAAAGAAAGAAACAATGCCAAGTGGCCTCATGGAGAGATTTTGCTATAATCAGGTGTTTTAGCACAATCTGTTCTACTCCAATGGAGGATATTTTCTAAAAGAAAACAGACTGAAAAAAAATCATATTTATTTTCAAATTTGCTTAATTTAACACAAAAGAGAAACGTTGCAGTAAATGGGTTTTTCAAAGTTTGAAGCAGAAAGAACTATTTTAGGAAAAGCAAATTAAAAGTCAGCATCACAGACTTTGCTCTATTTTGTGGAAACAAGGCAGGGCTCAGAGCTGTGAAATCCTGATAGAAACTTCAGCAGGGATTGAACCAGGCATGAGATCCATGAAGGGAGCTATCTTGCTCTTTTACCTTGACACCACATCATTTTTTCTTATTCAATCTTTTACAAACTCCATTGTTTCTTAAATTTAGACGGTCCCTTGGCTTTATAATCATTGCTGTACCAAATAAAGAACAAGTCACCAATAAAAAGTAAGAGGACAAAATTCAGGAATGATGCGAATTTTAATTGCAGACAGGGGGACTGAAATTTTCACTCAGCACTTCCTTTGTTGAAAACACAAACTAATGTCAAAAAAAGTTAAAGAAAAGTGTGTTTGTGCTGAAGAAACCAATCCTATTTGTAAGCCTTGTTTTGTATTTTTTGGGATTTGGCATGCATCTGTTTTTCCTACAACACCAAGACATCTCGGGCATAAGCCAGAAATCCTTAGAGGTGCTCAGGAGATGAGCAGGCTATCTTTGAGCAAGTCAGTTACATTTCTTAATTGCCTCCATCCATCGGGGGTCAGACCACAACATAGTACTGAAAACTCACAGGTTTGCACTTGCAAAATGTTGCAAAGAGTGCTGAAGTTCTTGCAGTAATTTCCTTCCACAAGCAAACAACTTATCCTCATAACCCATCAGGATTTCACGGGATGAAAGAGGAGTAAGCAAGACAAACGAAAGAACAGCAGTGAAATAATTGAGTAATACACATATGAAGCCACGAGGCCAGTATGAAATGTAAGGGAGCACTGCACAGTGCATCCCAGAGCACCTCAGTGAGGTCTTCTCCTTCTCTTGGTCCAACCTTTGATCTTCTCTGCTATCCTTCAGTTCCCCTAGGGTGTTACCTTTCTCTGCAGCAGCTCCTGAGGAATTGTGCTTGTGCCTTTCTTCTCTGGACATACAGTAATTGTTTTTTTATAGTGTTCAACAACACATGGCCTGTTAGGTCTTCAGTGAGAAAAAAGAAAGAAGTTGTTGCTTTGATTTTAAACTTCTAAACTTTTCTGTTTCCTTTTCTGAAGCCATTCTGTTTCAATTTTTTTCTATGGAAGGTTTCATTAGTAATCCTATTGAAGTCCACACTTTTCACACTGCACAAAATGTAATGTTGTTCTACTAACACTTCTTAAAACCCCTTCCAGAATTTCTTCACAACAGTGTTATGGGTGTAACTTCATTTTATTTTGCTTCCAAAATAAATTGCTTTCTCTGCCTTATTTGTTCCTTGTCTGTTTCCTACATTTGTACTAATTGGGCAATCATACGTTCATCAGCCAAGGAGAAAAGGGGACAGCAATCACTGCAGGTTGCTGCTCTCAGCACTAAAGAACAAAAGAAGAAATACCATCTTGTACTCTGTAGTGTATATACAGAAAAAATATCACCCTGAAGGTTTGAAGCATTGCATTTGATGCAAGTAAGATCAGCTGAATGCAAGGTGCCTTGCTGTTGTTCTTAGCTAGGAAACAGATTTGCTACAGTTTGGAAGTTCAGTGAGTCATAATTTGATCAAGACTGAAAGTCAGACTCTCGGAAGTGAGCATGGCCAGTATTCTGACAGCATGTACTTGGATTTAATAGCACATACTAATCAATGTGGGACTGAGAAGATAGCAGCATTCCTCAGAATCAGAGAATATGAGCAACATTACTACTTCAAGAGGAATAAGAGAAAGAAACTGGCAGTAACTGAAACCTCAACCTGGTGGGCACTCCTTCTCTACCACTGTTGCTCTCAGTTTAGAAGCTGTACAGCAGCCATCAGATGAACTCTGTTCTTTCAAGAAAACAGAAATCCCTACTGTGTTTTTTTTTTCTTTTCACAGAGTACAGCCAAAAAACCTAGTTCCCATCCAGATTTGCAAGTTGTCTTAATTAACAACAGTGTTGATGTGTGAAAAATTGTGTACTGTGGTTTTATCACACATTTTGGCAGTGTGTTTCTCCCGCTGATATTCTCTGAAGTGAGGGCAAGGCCTCTGCATGGGTGATATCTGCAGGATGAGAACAGTGATGATATCCAGAAAAAGTAGAAGCATGTTAAGCCAGCACATACAACTTGATGTCATTAATTCAACATCAACCATTTAAAGGGGCAAATATTCTTTCCCGCACATAGATAGTCTTGTGAATGCTAAAAAGTACTTAAATTATGTAATCTCTTTCCTTTCCACATCCTTCCCAATGAAGCTGATACAAAACAGAGTAAGTGAGAGATCAGGGTGGATGAGATTTGAATTCACTTTATGTTTAGCAACTGGAACGCAGCAGAATGAAACTAACATGCTAAGGAAAAGAGTCAGCTACGTCAGCTATGAAGACGCTAAAAATTTCTGAGTTGATTCCATGCAGATTTTGCACAGTTTGGAAATCCTGTGATATCAAACATTACTACTTTCGACCATTCCAGTACAGTTGGTTTAGGCCTTTCAACTTCTAAGGTACGTAATGATTTGAAAATCAACTACTCGCTTTCCCCGGCCCTTTCATCTAGAAATCTTCAAGCACTTTCTGAAGAGCCAGGGTAGAATAAGCAGTGTCTAACCTCTGGGAAGACAACACTTCGTCTCCTCTCAGAGCTGTTGATTCAATAGGTCTATCCAATATTTTCAGTAAAAAATATAGCTTACATGACCTCTGGCAAAGAAAAGCATGTTTGTTTTAGTCTTTCATGATGAAAGATGGCCACGATAAGTGGTGGCTTGTGGTGAGGGATCTGGACACAGCCTTCACATCACTTCTCACTATTAATCTGTGTGTGTAATGAAGAGGCATTTACTGTCCAGCCAAATATTTGATAAATAAGCTGGCTGAGTGCAGTGCTAATGTGTGACCTGGCTCTGGTTTTGTATCCTCCCTTGTGAAAGGCCACACACAATTATCACTGCTTGTAAAGTGCCACAGAAAGCTTACAGTTGTAGGAGCAAGGAGTTTGCTTTAGCTAGTCACATCTTGGGTCACCAACGTGTCATGTTTTACAAGCACAATCTCTGATCTACGTGTTTCCTGGAAAATGCTATAGTTTTATTCGCTCACTCTGAGTTGGTGCTTCACATCTAACAATCTGTATGCTTTTTCTCATTGTAGAAGTTTTACCTTATCTTGTTGTTTTTTTTTCTTCATCCAGGAAAATAGCTACCTAACAAACTGAAAAGAGGAAGGTAACATATATTTTCCAGCATTTGCCTTCCACACACTCATTCTCCTATGCTCTATGGAAGAGCCATTCCCATCACATTTGATACATTTGAGCTATACTTTGAATAATAAGGAAGAGTCTCAGCAGGCTGTTAATACACAATAATTTGCTGTGTAATTTGTTTTTTCTCTGAGCCCAGATGTTCTTTTTATCAAAGCCAGGATAAGCCAGGAAAGATGAGGACATGTTCAAAACTGGTGGTGGAGCACATGACTTAGCAGCCTGACTCTGGAGTTGTACTCCATATATCAGGTCACAACTGGAAAGCAAAAGGCCTTTTCACAGAGAAGGATGTACAGTTGTATCTCTACATTAGGTGTAGCGGGGAATTCCCACCTGAAATCTGGTCTATCTGAAACTTTACCTCAAGAGACTTCATCTGTCTTCCACAGTCTTGCATTTCAGAGCATGCAGCAAGGAATAAAGTAGGGGTAAACTGACAGAACAGAAGGAATCCTTACTCAGTCACCTTCAGAAACTCTACTATTACTGTTACTATTCAAGAAGCAAAGAAAACCCCTGTCCATGAGCCTTCCAAGTATGTCCTTCCAAGTAGGGAAGGATTAAGGATGTTTCATGTTGTTTTGGGGGACAATGGACAATTCAGCCCATAATACCCAAATCCATGGATACTGTGGTGTTTTGCAGACATGCAGATTCACAGACTCCTGACCCAATTTCTTTGTTAAAT